TTTTCAATACAAACAAATAAAACTAAATTTAAATAATAAAACAAATAGAAAATATGAAGGAAACTTTCCTAAAGCATAAAACATAGAAAATTACTTTGGTTAACTAATTAATATCTTAGAATTTGAAGAGAAATTCTGTATGAAAGTAAGAGGCAAGGATAACAGTGAAAAAAAAAGAACTTGGATCAATTAGTAGTTAATAAATAAAATTAACCCTGTAAAGTTATTATATTATTTTAATATAAAAAAATATTTAAAAAAAAATAAAGGGGCATTGCTATTGCCACATTGTGTCACCGTCATTGGTGGTAACCATTTTAATTTTATTAGTGTGTTTGAAAATGTGATTATGATTGTTTTTTAAAATATTTTTTATTTAAAAATATATCAAAATAATATTGTTTTTATTTTTTTAAAATTATTTTTGATATAAACATATCAAAATAATTTAGAAACACCAAAAAATATTAATTTGAAGTAAAGGAAAAAATAAAAAAAAATTAAATTTTTTTTAAAACTACTTTTAAAATATAAAAACAAATAGTGTTTTACACAAAGTTATCCTTTAAAAATAAAATAAAAATAAAAAAAATCGTAGGTTTTTCTTGTTCTCGACTTGCCCGTGTGGTTGCCCTTGCAATTTTACGTAAGGTTGTCCTTTAAAGAAAAACAAAAAATCTTCATTTCTCTTGCTTGGCATTTTCTTTCTCGAGGGTCACAAGATGACATTATACATTTACATAGAAGGCCAAAGCACGAATCAACGTGATTTCTTCTGCTTTCCTAGTGCTAGGAAAAGCCTTGTACTTCAAATTTTTTTAGGAAAAGTAGATGCGAAAAAATCAATGCAATCATTAATTATGGAAAAAATTAAGTAACACATCAAACAATAAAATTAAAAATTCTAACTAATTAAATATTGTAATTTATTTTCATTACTTGATTATAAATAATTATAACCGTATATCTTATCAATATTTTTTTATTTTTTATTTTTTATTTTTTAATATAATATATATTAAAACAATACATCTTATAACAACCATTCTTATCTTTTATATCCAAAGCCAGAAGGGCAAATACAGAATGGAGAAGAATGGTAGCTCCCCACGAATCTACCATTTCTTTTTTATTTTTATTTTCTCCTCCAATAATGAATCTATGTAAACAAAGTAAACAAGAATTTTTTAACCTATGTTCCATATCATACTAACTTTAAGAGTATGTTTGACATTACAAATTCATGATCACGTGGAGTGGCGTCCTAGCTACAACTTTCTGCACCTTCCATTTCTTTAAAAGCCCGCGTTCTTTCATATAATAAGGTAAAGGAGTCGCTATCTTGAAGATAAAGGAGCCAACTTATAGATTAACACGTAATCAAAGGAGGATTTACAAAAGTTATATAAAAATATTTCTTTACATTTTATAATTGCAGGTGACTTTCTACTTTTTAATAGCAATCATTAGTCTCTTAAGGTAAAATCAGATCTGGTTTTATTTATATTTTATTAAAAAAGATTGAGTTTCTTTAACAAAGAAGAGAAAGATTAGTTTCTTTAAAGAATGGTTAGATGATAAAAGTCGAGACTGTTTTTTTCTTTTTTCTTTCTGTGATCAAATCCAAGTCATCATGTTCCCTCGAAAATTGCAATGCTTCGTTCCTAAGCTAAAAAGAAATTTTCCATTTCTAGTACGGGCATGTCAAGAAGAGTTTTTCTGCGATTTTAACATAGTGATATATATATATATATATATATATATATATATTAACAACACAATTTAGATTTAAAAAGAGTAACTCTTTCAAATAGTAAAATTATTAGAAACCAAATTTAATTAAAAAAATTTAAAAAAACTCTAGAAGTAGATGCAAATCCTATAATATCATTAAAAAATATCAATAAGATGAATTCAATAATATTAAAAAAAATTGTAAATTATATTAAAATAAATTATATGAATAATTCAAATGCAATTGAGGTCTGATATTTTTAGATGACTTATATAGTTTATTTTATTTATTTTTTATAATTTTTTTTATTAAATTTTTTTATTAAATTTTTTTTAATGATACCAGTAATATCCTCGTATCAGCTTTGATATATTTATGATTTTTTTTTTTAATATGAGAAGAGAAAAAAATGAAAAAAATGAAAAAAAAAGATTGTGGATGCAGACAAAAGCTCCCATTATCACATAGTGAGTATTGTTAAATTTTTTTTTGATAACATAAATACAATGACACAAAAAAACAAATCATAAATAATATACAGAGTGAGTTACATAAACAGTACAAAGATGATGTCCCTGGTTGCCTTGGGGCCACTCACTTTATCAATCTCGACAATCGCACTCTCATTGCCACACTTACTTCCTTAAATGGGCTGTTTCTTTTTCTTCATCCGGCTCCGTTCATGTTTTCTTTTTAACTATTCAGGGCCTTGAATGTTGCCCGATTAGTACCGGTTTACACCTTCCATGCTATTTCATGCGGGAAGATGATTAAGATATTAAACCTGGCTGGCCTGATAAGTTATACATATTTTGGAGCTGATCCGAGCACGGTTGTAGTCCGAGCTTTTTTCGTTGGATTAAATCTTGGACCGAATCTATAGAGGGATTTGATGGCACCTTGTTTGGTGGTATCATGATTTCTAAGTTGGATTTGATTCACCTCTACCATGGCAAGTTGGCTACTTGGGTACTTCGGCGTGGTTAATCTTTTAAGAATAAATGATATGTCGAGCTTCTTTAGAGATTTTGTGTTCCTTGTTACATGGTCCAATTGGTTTTAGTCTTCAGACTTCAAAACGGATTTCCTTTGCCTACTTTGTCTGTTCTATTAGTGCAGATTGCGCCATCCTATCATATACAAAGGAGAACGACATCTACAAGAAACGTAGCTGTGGATGGTACATGCTGACATATTTGTGCCCTCAGTTTGCATTATCATCTCTTGTTTATCATCACACATGTTGTTGCTTTCAAACTGAAGGAGCTTTTACGTGACTTTCTCTATCAATATACACCAAGGGTCCTCTTTTGCCTCCAATTACACTACTACACATGACCGAAAGAGATTTTCATTTCAATGGCCACCACAGAAATCCCACCAATATCCTCCTTTATCAATATCTAACCATTTTCTTTTTGGAAGTTTATGCTGATTTAATGCTGCTTAGCATTCTTCATGGCACCGGTAGTTCTCCTTTACAATTTGTTTTAAACAAAATTTAAAAAATGGTGCCATGTTTATCTTGCTTGACCATATATACTCGTCGGTGGGTCACAACAAGCACATGCTTGACATGGAACTGGCAGGCAATCATGTTGCTGTTGCTTTCAGTGGAAGGGCAGGGGTAGGAATGAACTGCTATGGCCTATGGTGGTAACCAAGCCTGGTAAAACGACGCCCCTTCAAATATTGAGCCTAGCCTGATCTCAGTCCTGCCATGTTTACATTGATCAGTTGCGGAGAACCATTTACTGTCATGCTACGTTTTCTAATTAGTCCACGCGCAGTGTTTGCATAATTAATCAACGATAAATGAGTTAGCAATAGATATCCAAAGATGATTTACGAACAAAAAAAACCCACATTAAAACTTCATGATCCGTCAAGTGATAAATGATAGACAATGAATTATAAAAATAATAAACAATAGTTTAAGCGTTAAAAAAAGACAACTGACGCCTTGCACGTACTATATATATATATGTATGAAACACTTTCTACGATTTTATTTTATTTTATCTGTGTGATAAGTTTTATTTTCAATTTTGGGTGACTTTTTTTTTAAATGGAGTTTTTTTATTAAATAGCAGTAATTTTAATTTACATTCCATAAAATCATCTATTATTGGCTATAATATCAACCTAAATATAAAAAACTATTTGCACTATAATTACACAAATATCAACGGCTATTTTCCTGACATAAATAGATAATATTTATATGTAAACTATTGATTCTATGCTAATAAATTAGTTCTTTGAGGAAATGAGAATTAAAAAAATAGAATTTACTTGATATTTTAAATTAGTTGCTTTGTATTTACTTTATCTATTAATATTTTTTTATATTTTTAAACTATTTTTCATACATTAAGATTTAATGAATGCTATTATTGATTATTAGACAAAGACTTCGATGCTTAAATGCGTGCTTTTATATGAATTTTCTTTCTTTTGCATTGTTTATTTATATTCAAACCTAAATGCAACTGGTCCAAACAATAATCCTAAAACCATTTCAATTGATGTATAATGTATGGACATTCTCAAAGCATATGTAACCTAGAGCTTCATAAAATATTAAAAAAAATGCAATAATTCTATTCGTATATTATAACTCAATTGTACTCCATCAAAATTAATTTATTAATCTCTATGGTATAAAAAACAATTAAAGCCCATTGATTACTTCATGTTTACCAACCTCAATTTAGTAGTTTTGTTATTTCGAAATTAACTTTCCTTCGTACGGAAAAATTTCCACATTTTACTAGATTCTCTTTTATTTAATATTTTTCTAACAAAGATAAACATAAAGCATGAAAAATTTTTAAAACACAGTAAATATTAATCAAAATATATAATTTAATTTATTTATTTTATGAAACTTCAAGGACTAAGCTATAACATACTCCTTGGAAGTATTGGGGGGAAAAACCCCTCGGAAGTCTCCCAAAACATTTAAAAGCCAAAAAAAGTAATAAAAAAAAAAAACCCAACTAAACCCGAAACAGAAAGACCCAAATGCCAATGATAATCAATTTCTTTTTCTGGCCCAGCTCCGCAATAATTGCCACAGAGGCCACAAAACCTGGCCCTACTCACTTCCCACCTGCTCTAAAACCCTAAAATAACCAGCCAATCAGAACCTCACAGCTCAGCTTTTAAGACGTTACTGACGGTACCTGAATAACACGCGGGTGAAACTCTCATTTTCAAACCGCTGTAAGAATACAATAAGTCGTTAAACGTAAAAAGATTGGCCGCAGGAATAAATGCCACCTTTATTGCTCTTACCTGATAAGACCAACCTACAATTTAGGATCATACAGATCTTTGTTTCCCACTTGTAAAGATATATTTCTTGTTTCTTGAATCTCTGCTACATTTTCAACATTGGGTTGGGTTCCTTTTTGTGTTTTTGTTTTGGAGAGTGGAGAGATAGAATCTTTTTCAAGAGATGGGAATTCTGAGTAGTATATTGGGATTCTGTGGATTTGGAATAGGAACATCAATTGGGATTGTAATTGGCTACTATATGTTCATCTATTTTCAGCCAACTGATGTTAAGGTTGGTGTTTTGCTGTCTCCCTTTTTGTTCTTTCAGTTGTGTTGCATTTTCTTGGTTTTGTGTGGTTTGAATTCTTTCATTTTAAGATTCCATGTGTGGACATTTATGACTGTTTTTTGCTATTCATTAGTGGTTAAGACATGTAAATGACAGGGAAAAGAAATCATGGGACTGTTTTAAGCTTAGTGATGTTGAAAACTCGGATCAGGCCATGCATGGTCAATTTTTTTATTTTTTTTTATTTTTTGCCGTTTTATGGAACCAATTTGGAATTTACCTTATTGACTTTTTATTTACCTTCATGGTTCGTTTTGTAAACGTTTTGATTGAAAAGAGGACTGGTGCCAAATACCATGACAGGTTGGTCTTGTTTTATAGATTTTTGTCTCTTTGGATTGACCGTTGATAGGTTGTGGTTTTGATTAGAGCAGGAGATGATCATGTTTGGGACTCCAAATACAAAAAATTGCAGAATATATTAAGTGTTAGTTGTTAGAGGGCGTGGAAATTTATAGATGTGCACATTCCAGCACGTTTTCATATTTGATTATACAAGGAAGATGGGTGAGAATTTCATCACTTCATCTGAGTTTAGTTTGGAAAGTGGAGCCGGAAATGTTACTGGAAAGTTATTTTAATTTAAAATTTTAAATTATTTGATGAGATTTTAAAATATAATTTATATTATCTTTAATATATTTTTAGGAAAAACAATTTAGACCTGAAACTTATATAGAATTATATTATTTTATATTTAATTTTTATTAAATAAATATTTTATATTATTTCAAGATATAAGTTATATTAGTATCTAATATTTTTTATTGTGTAATGTGACAATTAACATTTTCATGTTTTGAAATTCTTGCACAATTTATGCCTAACAAACTGTCACTTGCGGGAAGAAGAAAAAGGATATGTCATGCCTTCCGCCATAGGATTGTTATAGTTATCATGTTTTTTGAGTGATTGGTTGTGAGTTCTGATTCTCCAGGATCCTGTACTCCGTCCTTTGATTGAACAAGACTCAAAAACTTTGCAACGTTTGCTTCCAGAAATACCCCAGTGGGTGAAGAATCCAGATTATGATCGGGTACGGTCCGCACCCGCAGTTGTCTTTTGCTTTTTAATTATGGTAGAGAAATGCCAGATTCCACTGCAATCTTCTTACAGATTTGAATAAACTTTCTTTTGTGAAGGTTGACTGGCTTAACAAATTGATTGAGAACATGTGGCCTTACATAAATACGGTACGGGTGCCTAAATAAGTTTCGGTTTGTTATCCATGGCTTCATTTCTATTCGTGGGCATACTTTGCTTGATGCTTTAAGTTTTCTAGGCAATTTGCAAGACTGCAAGGACTATAGCAAAGCCCATTATTGCTGAGCAAATTCCAAAATACAAAATTGACTCTGTTGAGTTTGAAACACTTACCTTGGGCTCCCTGCCACCAAATTTTCCAGGTTACGCTGCTCTCTGTCTCCACACGCTCTTAGGCTTCTGCATGCACCTTCTTTTTTCTCTTTGTCTCTCTGTTTTTTTTTTTTGTCACAGTGATCTAAATAACTTCGTTGCTTAAAAAACTGTGGAAAGTTTTGACATATTTCTTCTACGTATCTTTCAATTGTCAGGTTTTATGCAGAACTCATTTCCACTTTTTTGCCCTCTTAATAATAACAGTAATCTTCTCGTTCTAAAGCCATTAAAATGATCGCAAATGACTGATTGATGAATATGGAAAATACATCGTCTTCAATCCAGTAAAACAAGCAAAATGGAATCATCGCCTTTGCTTGAACATCATGTTTTTGCCCCCGGGTAAAAGTGTCATTCTATTGTATCTGATGCGTTAAGAAGGTGACTCCTTCTTCTCACTAATGTGGCGCATATATACCATTTCATTTTGGGATTGCATTGTTCTATTCCTTGCATTAATAGATCGCAATGTTGTTTCGAGGGACACAGCTTAGTAAATTTCTGAAGATTGATGATTCTTGGTTCTACTATATTCCAGGAATGAAAGTTTATGTCACTGATGAGAAAGAGCTGATCATGGAACCAGTATTGAAGTGGGCTGGGAATCCAGATATAACTATTGCGGTTAAAGCATTTGGTCTGAAAGCCACAGTTCAGGTATTTTGATTTGCGACTGCTAATAAACAGAAAGACCCTTTTTTCAGTCAAAATGAAGTAATTGAGTACGTTACAAAAATACTTGCACATGTTCACATCCCCACCCCCTTGTCACCTGGTTCTATGTACAATTGAAACCATTGATCTCTTTGGATATTTCAGGTGGTTGATTTGCAAGTATTTGCTGCTCCTCGTATCACCCTAAAGCCTTTGCTTCCAGTATTTCCTTGTTTTGCTAATATATATGTGTCTCTGCTAGAGAAGGTACGTGGTGATGGTTAAAATATATATCAACTGTTGTGCAAATAAAGGATATTATACTTGGTACAAGGGAATCTGGAATCGTTATACATTCTTTCTGATTTTGCAGCCACATGTTGACTTTGGATTGAAATTGCTTGGAGCAGATGCTATGTCCATTCCCGGCCTGTACAAATTTGTCCAGGTATTGATATTTTTTGTTTTTGTTTTTTTAGATGGTTGGGTGGACTGGAGGGGGAGGTGGTTTATTAAGTTTCAAGATATATTTTATTTTCATCATTGTCATTTCTAGAATGCTATTTCAACAAATAATATCTGCAACTGTTTACCATAACTTGAGTCCTCGTGCATGACAATGTCTATTTGTATATTTATTTAGAGGTTAATGCACGTATTCTAAGGACAAATATTTTCCTTAGAAAAGCATTGCAGCGCAAGGTTGCGATTCCAAGGAGCATCCAACTATTTTGAACCACCCCCGATCAAAAACAGTGGAATAATAAAATATAGAGAGTTAATTTTTTCGATCCCTTATTTTTTCTTCCTTTCTTTTCCTTTCCTTTTTTTCCTGTTCAGGAGCTTATCAAAGATCAGGTTGCAAATATGTATTTGTGGCCAAAATGCCTGGTAGTACCAATCATGGATCCTTCAAAGTAAGTATTCGTCAACTCCTTAAGTCCATTTTATGATGCAATATGTTTGCTAGGACCTGCTAAGCTTTCCTCAAAATGTCAGAGCCATGAAGCGACCTGTTGGGATACTCACTGTGAAGGTTCTGAAGGCAACGAAGCTTAAAAAGAAAGATCTGTTAGGGGCATCAGACCCATATGTGAAATTAAAGCTTACCGAAGATACGCATCATTCAAATAAAACAACTGTTAAACACAAAAACTTGAACCCTGAATGGAATGAGGAGTTCAATATTACTGTTAAAGACCCGGAATCTCAAGCCTTGGAGGTTGTTGTCTATGATTGGGAACAGGTGTGTATGTATCTCTATGCATCTTCGTAGGATTAACCACACAGCACAAAGTGCGTCGTTGCTTATGCTTAAGAATTTTTTTTCCACCATGATTTTGTCCTTCCGTTCCCAACATTCATGATTGCAAGGGATTTTATGTTTCATTTCGCATAGGTTGGCAAACATGACAAGATGGGTATGAATGTCATTCCACTGAAAGAGCTGACTCCCGATGAACCAAAAGTTCTTACACTTGATCTGCTAAAAAATATGGACCCAAATGATGTTCAAAATGAGAAACCACGCGGACAGATTGTTGTCGAATTGGTATACAAACCTTTTAAGGAAGATGAGATACCAAAAGATATCGATGATCCAAATGCGGTGGCAAAAGCTCCTGAAGGTACACCTGCTGGTGGTGGTCTGTTTGTGGTTATTGTGCACGAAGCTCAAGATGTGGAAGGAAAACACCACACAAATCCTTACGCTCGATTACTTTTCAAAGGGGAGGAGAAAAGAACTAAGGTATGCCATAAGCGTCGTCACGATAACTCGCACAAGCATAATTTAAGTTGTTTTTCACCTTTCAATGGCGAAGACTCAAATTCCGTTTGCGTACTGTATTTTAGCCACATAGCCATCAAAGTCTCTTCGTATTTCAATCATGATATTAAGACAATTTCACTACTTAAAAATTAATAATTTATATTTAAAATCGATACAGCAAGTAAAGAAAAGCAGAGATCCGAGATGGGAAGAAGAGTTTCAGTTCGTGCTGGAGGAAGCACCCACGAATGAAAGACTTCATGTGGAAGTTGTTAGCTCCTCCTCGAGGATGGGTCTACTGCATCCTAAGGTATATAAATTGCATTTGTTTAATTGCCTTGATACCATCACTGGTATGCCTGATCCGGCAATTTTGAGGCCAGTCTGCTGTTTCACATTTCGCCGATAGGGTCTGAGTTATGTTTCTTTGTTCTCTATGATTTCCAATCAGGAAAACCTGGGTTATGTGGTGATAAACCTAGCGGATGTCGTAAACAACAAGAGAATCAACGAGAAGTACCATCTCATTGACTCCAAGAATGGCCGAATCCAAGTTGAGCTGCAATGGAGAACATCTTAGGGGGGCACGTATTTTGGCTATCGGTAGGTATTTGGTCTCAAGCATAAAACATTCCCTGCACTTTTTGTTTATAATGATTTTAGCACTACGGTTTATGCATGTTCAGTACATCTATAAGCTTGTTGAGACGTTTATAAGCATGTTTAGTAAAAATCTGCAGCCATTTCCAGCAAGGTTCTTGTGTTTGACAAGAACTATTTTTTTTCTTTGATAAACATGTATATTTTTCAAAATTAAAATGGTAAGTAGAACGTTACAGATAAGTACTTGAAGCATGCAGTTGGTTATTTGTGTCAAGGGAACCCGCTAGCTTGTGAAAAAGAGAGATCCCTCCATGATAAGGACATCATTGTCAAGCTGTCTGTGGTCTCTGAGTTACACTTTCTTCCCTCTCATCCCTTGTCACGGCAAGTTTATTACTCAGTGATATGTTACAGCTTACGGCGAGCCAACTTTTCTTGCCTCGGTTTAGACCATCATTGTAGCATGAGGAAAGAAAGGCAGTCGTTGCCAAACGTCACCTTCTACATGAAACTCTCTAATTACAACCTCTCCTTAATCCTCCGGTGCCACCCTGTGTAAAGCACAATCACTGGGATAATAGTAATAATAATAAAAAAAAAAAAGCGAATTAGACCCAAATTTGTTAGATTTGCTTTTTTTAATGGGAGATTTAATAAATCTTCAGTTAAATACAAGAGGATAGTTTTTTTTTCAGTGTTTTGACATGTAGTAACTTTTGTTTTTAGATATATTTTAAAAATATAGAAATTATATAAAAGTTTTTTTAGTACTTTTCAATGGTTTAATTTGATATATTAATATAAAAAATTAAAAAAAATCTGAAAAAATCATTATGATATATTTTTCAAATCAGAAATATTTTTGAAAAATACCTGACACAAACTTCATCACGTTTAGCTAGCGGAAATTCTTAGAACAATTGTTCATTAATCATTTAATATTTCTAAGCAATAATTTGTTTTTTAATATATTGTAAATATCTAAAAACTTTATCATATAAAATGACAATTATTTAATATATTTAATCAATATAATTGATTTTTACTTACAAATTTATTAATTTTGTATTCGAATAAATACATTCAGAGATATATTAAGGGCATTGGTTAGCTTTTCCCTTGCGCAGTTATAGTTTAGAAAAACTGTGCAGTCATTAGGACTTAAACTTGTATCTCGATAAGAAGTTATCCTAAAATGGATGAAGGGTCTAAAAGTCTGCCGAGATCGAATTACGACCTAGGCATCAAACTCAAGATGGTTTAGAAAATAACCGGAGGAAGAATGTTTATACGTTGATTTTGATGAACAACGTTCAGATAAAACTTATCGATGCCTTGAATGTGCATATAAATCGTTGTATGGTTTACTGTACATATGTGTTTTTAGAATTTTTTGTTAGCTTCAACTTTTTTTTATGTTTTTGAATTGTTTTGATAGGTTGATTTTAAAAAAATATTTTAAAAAAATATTATTTTACAAAATTTTCAAATTAAAAAATTAAAAATTTTGACAAGCAACTTCTAATATACTTCTAAAGAGACTTGAAATATATCCGAGGTAGAGATTTGTGGATATTCTGGAATACAATAGATAAGATAGAATTAATGATAGATATAATTGATGGTAATGTATAAAATATAATAAATGTTTTTGTATTTTATTTAGTTGATGGTGAATGAAATATTATAAAATATAAAAAAAAATTAATATTACTTTTAATATGTATTACTATCAAACTTACATATTAGACAAAAATAATTACATGTTATTTTTTATGTTAGTTTATATTAAATATCAAAATTAATAATAATATAATTTTTTTATTTATAAAACTTGGATCAACCCAACAGGTTACTTAGAACCTGGCTAACTCGATGTCCAAACCAATCTCGATTAAAGAAAAAAAAGAAAAAGAATTAATCTGATCTTATCCGATCAAAAAACGCAGGTCAACTCGCAATACTTTTGATCAAATGTAAAACCTTATCAAAACTAGTGTAAATAACCTGTCGATTTAAAAAAAAAATTAAAATGACATTTCCTTTTCTTTTTTTTTTATTACAAAAAATAAGGATTCACTCGAGTTTACCCTCCTAACCCATACCTCAAGCATTGCCCTAAATTATATTTTAAAATTATGATAATAGTTATTTTTATCATTAAATGTTTTAGTTTAGCAAATTTTAACTTAAAAGTTTTTTGCAATGATATTTTAAAAATAAAAAATAATAAAAATTATATTCCAAAACATGTTTTTTTATACCTTTTATTTTAAAAATATAAAAGTTCAGTTTTAAAATTGTCTTGTGACAAATTTATTTTAACTTCCTTATTTTTTTAATTCGACATGTTTATGTTTTTATTATTTTTATCTTTTTTATATCAAGATAATGACTAAACACTACCTAAATGTGCTAGAGCTGCTCAATGATTGGGCAAATTAGTGTGCGAATATTACAAATATAATTTAAGAGTATATGAGATTATGAGATTATTTTTTAAAATATTTTTTTATTTGAAAATATATTAAAATAATATATGTTTAAAAAATAATTTTTTTTTAATATTAGTATATTAAAATATTAAAAATTTAATTTAAAAAAAAAGCATGATTAGACAGTAAAAAAACAAACACAACAAAATGCTATATTTTTTAGCTACGCTGACAACCCTCTTGGGTGGATCTACCAAAACCCTCCCCGTCCAATTCCTCCTTTCTGGGCGCCTCTTAGGTTTTCTTTATGGACCGATACGGAGTGAGTAGCGCTGGATCAGACAAACAATGTTTAAAAATAAAATAGTATTTATAATTTAAAATATTTTATATTTAGAAATACATTAAATAATTTTTTTATTTTTAAAAATTAATTTGAATATCTGTTTTTATTTTTAAAAATTAATTTGAATATTTGTACATCAAAATAATTTAAAATTAAAAAAAAAATTAAAAACCTTTTAAATTTTTAAAAAATACAGTTTAAAAAAAATGATGTATGTGCGAAGAAAACCCAAAGTCAAAGCTAGCTTAAAGTAGATTAAAATTCCGTTTTTGTTATTATAATAACAATTATTTTTCAAAAATATTTTTATTTTAAAATATATTAAACCGTGGGTAGCTGAGCTGTAAAACTGTTATGATTCGGGCCATTGAAGAAGAAATCACAGAACCCAGAGGTGCTGATATCATGCTCCCAGTCGTTGATTTGATGGAAGGCTAGGAGAATCTATCGCCGTAATAATTGCACGGTTGAAAAATTACAGAGTCGTGCATAGAAAAGTGGGCTTCCACTAATCTAATCTTTGATCTATCAATCTCTCCCTTTTCCAGAACTAGCTCTTGGCTTTTCCTAAAACGGGTAAAAGTTACCATCATTGCCTATCAGTAGCTTATTATTTTTAGAGTAAATAATACTTTTTTTTCATAAATTGAGTAATTGCATGGCATATTATTATTCTTTACTCATATTTTTTTAGGATATCTTTTTTACAATAAACATGATTTAATATTTTCATAGAAAATTATTTTTAAAGAAATTAAACATACAGATATAATATAAATACATTTACTAGATAATTTTAAAATAATTTTTTTTATTATTAATTTAAAAATACATAAAAATATATCATCGTGTTTTTGTTATCTTATGATTTTTAACTTGAAATAATAATTAAATAAATAATAATTTAAAAATATTTACAAAATAAAAATAAAAATTTATTTATTACGAGGATTATGCCATCTTGCAACATATATAATAATCTTAACATCAATAATTCACCTTGTAGTCAGGTTAATTGAGTTTTCGTTCTCTAATATTGTTGTTTGATTACTCGGTTTCTTTTATTATTATTTTGATTATCTACACCAACCAAAAATACTAAAGGAGGGGTACCCTTCTCATGTGATACTATCTATTTACATATTTTTTTTTAAAAAAATATTATTTATTTTTTTTCTTTTCATGTTTGATTTATCTTATTAGATTTATTAAAAAATTAATTTTATAATTTTTTTAATTTATATTTTATGAAATTATTTAAAATCCATTATTCAGATCACAAGTCTAATAAATATATTCGATTAACTTAAATTTTTAATTGACTCGAGTTATTTTATATATTTTTTAATTTTATTTTTTAATATTAAATTAATTAAAAATTAAGTTTTATAATTTATTTTATCTTACTTTTTATTAAACAATAATAATCTCATAACATCTACTACCAGTTTAACAAGTTAATTAACAACTTTCTTCTTTTCTTCCTGGCAAACCTAAAACCCCATGCTTGCCAGTCCAGGATGTTCACATTGTTGTCTTGTTCCCGCAACTGCACATATATCTGGGCCTTCACAACCTCATATGGGTTTTCCATTTAAGCACGGAGGAAGCTGACTCTATCACGGTGGATGAATCCGAAGAACCATAACTGTTCGATAATGAATTCGCTACGCAAACCCAATCTCTAATTGCGATTAAAAAAAAAAACAAGAGATGGGTCATTGATTAAGAAATTATAAACCTTAATTTATTTATAATGATAGCTTATAACTTACATTAGTTTTTAAGTTAAGTGTGTCGAATATATAAAAAAGTTAATAATCAAGTGATTTAAATAAGTAAATAAATGGCAGGGGAACTCAACCAACTAAACAACGATAATAGAAGGATAATGTATATATAATTGATCCCTTTATACTTTTTGATTTTAATCATAGATTTTTATAGTACAATGGACATGTGTGAAATCCTATTATTTTTGGATAATTTGGTGCACAACTCTTTCTACTTTTTTCAAGGAAAAAAAAAAAAACCTGGACACTTGGCACTTAACCATGGATTAAAAAACAAGTTATTACATGAACCCGCTTCATCCTGTAGACTTGTTTCGGTGTAGTGAATTTCATATTATCACTTTAAATGGTTGTTATTGTTTATCATTATAATATGATTAGTTATTTTTTTTAAATCATAAATTTAAAATTGCTATGATGAAATTTTCTCTGTAATTATAGCTTTTAAATATTTAGTAATACTTTAAAACTAATATCATAGCTCTATTAAAATAAGCTATAATTTAAAAAAATAAAATTTTAAAACACAAATGGTATTGCTGGAAAGCATTGTTTGTGAATTTCAATGTACATTAA